TGCACCACGGGAGCTCTCATATTCACACATCTCATGATTCATGACGTCATACGACAACTTATCAGCCAAAGGCAGGGTAACCGTGATATCACCCCAGCCACCAAAGGTTCAATCGAACCTAAGACATAGCTACGAACGCCATGGGCGGGGCTGCGGGCAGAACCGGGGGCGGGTCCCCACTCTCGACCCGGGCGTCCATAGAAGGCCGCGCCGTGATCCGGTCACCATGCAGGCGACGCCCTCCAGCTGGGAGAGCCATGACTCACTGATCGCCACTGCACGGAGCACCGGCGGTGCACAGGCAGGGGTCCCAGAACTGGTACCGGGAAGGCCGGCCGACACTGAGGCCGTGATTGTCGAGCTGGCAATGGGTTGTTTGGACTGGACATGCCCGCTGAATGGCGGGGCGGTGGGTCTTAACCCTCGCCCGCACATGCCATTTTCCCATCCTAGAACGCACATGGGGGGGGTGGTTGCCACCCCCCCCCCGCGCCATTTCGTTCCTGTTGGAGATAGAGCTTAGCAGTAAAGACCAAAAAGATTCTTTGGGAAGAGACGAATCCAATGATACCCAGTTTTACCTTCTCAGGTCAGTCATTGACCTTCCAGGTCAGGTCAAACTAAAAAATGTTGCTGTTTTGGGTCACCGTTGGATATCAAGTGCGCTGCTTATCAAATACCGATGACGATGCTGTTTTCTGGTGCCAAGCCAGCTAGAACCTCTTTGTCACACTATCCGACCAGAATTTTGCTGCTGAGGTCATTTCAGGTCAAGTTAGGTCAAGGTCAATTATATGTGTTTGTATGTCTGTGTGTGTCTGTGTGTATACTGATGTGTGCACCGATTGTTTTTGGGTCCATATCACATGAAATCATGATCTGAGAAGCTTTTTCCAAAAATGCAGTCAAAAAAACTTCACAAAAAGTAAATTCAGCTTGCCTAACACGCAATTATCTTAGATGACCTAGGTTGACCTTGACCCTGACCTTGACCCCTGTACATCGTCGAACAACATGTTCCATGATAGGTGGGAGGTAAGACTGGCAAAAAAGGCCGAAATCAGGGTGTCAAAAGCTCACAAGGCCCATGGCAAACGCAAGATGTTGAGAATTGGCCATTTGGGTCATGACATGACCTGAAAAACAAGGTCATATCTCCGAAACCAAAAATCACAGAAACTTGAAATTTTCAGTGGACATCAAGAAAGGATAGACGAGCAGCTATACGAAAAATCAGCCTCCTAGCTCTAAAAATGTTGAGTGCAGAGCAGAAAGACTGCCTGGGGGGGGGGTGGCAACCACCCCCCCCCCCCCCCATGTGCGGGCGAGGGTTTAAGTGGTTCAGCAAATCAATCGTGATTTGGACTGGACATGCCGGGTGGGTCTCAAAGTGGTTCAGCAAATCAATAGTGATGTTACATGACGTAGGTAGGCATGCATCACTGTTTAATCTAATTATTTCCGGGTAACGGATAGTTGTACACAAACATCGTTTACCTGATCCACAGACGGAGAGCTCTTATCAGCACTACGCAGCATACGCTAAAACCCAGTATCTATCCCCTGTGAACCCCCGTCTACTCCCATATCTGGGCAGGGATGCACGGCGAGCTATTTACTTGCGGGCCATTAGCTCTGATATCGGCCAAGCTTTGACGAAACAGAACTCTGGACACCTGACAACTGTCTCACAGCCGAGGACGGCGCCGACCGTTTGACTAAATGTCAACTCGTGACGGACCTGTCTTGGCCGCAAGGGCTAAGCGCCAAGCAGGCAGTCAGACAGGGTCGACAACGCACAGCTACTTTCAGTGTGGAAAGGCGGGTCTCTGTACTGGACAATATCTGTAGCACAACAGCAGGCTACGTCGCCAACCATACCGTCCGCTTGATAGACGGGCGGCTAAACGATGCCCCCGGCGGGCGGGTCTGCCTAATTAGCGCCGAAACTCCGAACGATGCCCACCCCCTGCGTCGTCCGAGGACTGCACTCAGCTCAGGACGGGTCGGTCCAGCCCAAATAACGGCCCAGATATGAACCAGACCAATACCAACTGTCAGTACTGACAGCCAGGAATTAATCACACACAAATGCACGTCCGGTAGCCATACGTTAGGCCAAACTGACATGTGACATATAAGTGCATGTATGGCCTAAACTTTTGAATTCATTTTAAAAGGGATAAAAACGCAAGAAATTACCCAACGTTTCACATTTATTGCTTAGTCATGGGTGTTAGAATGTCATATCTGTCATTTGATAATCCTCACCAAACTGAAATATTTGTGGCAGTAGAGAAATATGACTTATCGTCGTGAATTGCATATCGAAGCAATCACTATCAATCAGTCTTGTCTGAAAACAATCGAATGCAAACAAACCTGACGTGATAAAACAATCGTGTCTGGAAAAATAATAGTTTTTTATGCACCGACACGGGTGTTCTCAGAGAGCAAGCGTCCGTCTCTAGCCCCACTCTACCAGTAGCGCAGCAGGCGCAGCCCAACATAAGAGAACATTGATCAGCCAGAGGGGTAGACCGCTCAGCTCATGCTCGATAGCTCTTCGACCGGTCAGCTCATGAGTGTCAGGCTCAGCTCACGGGTGGATGACCTCCCAAATCGACCGGCCACCGGACTCCCGCCCGCTACCCGAGCCGACCCCCAACATAGCGACTAAGAGCGGCAGCTGTCCACACATAGACACAATGCAGTGGGGTGGGCCGGAGTCCAGCGCGCTGTGAAAGGCTCCAACTGTCAGTGAGCGACAGCTGATTGCTCTCTGCGACGCACAGCCCCCCCCCCCCTCCCCTCCCCCCCTGCAGCAGCAGCAATGACCGCTGCCGGGGGAGGGGGACGCAGAGCAGGGTTAAATTGGATATGAGAGCGAGCGATGCAAGTTGCAAACCTACAGACCCAAAGTGTCTCAAATTTAGGTCTGTTAATGGCGTTACGGGGTTTGCAAGAACTTGCTGAATATTCGCGGGCCGTTAGGAAGTGCCTTTCTTCTCGTAGTGTTCGCAGACTGGGCTAGAGCTGGGTCACAATCTCGGCCTAGGGGGGTTACGTATAGCTCAACTGTGCGTTTCAATTGGATCACGGAACTCCAGAGACCGACTGTGCGGCCTATCACGCGCGTCTCTCGTGTTCCCCATAAGCCGCGCCCCCGGCCGGCGGGTGAGGCGGCCACAGGAAACAGAGAAACCTGGAACAGGCCACACCCAGCCGCGGCCGCCGCCTCCGTCCCAGCAGCATGAAGGTAGACTGGGAAACGCCGCCTCTGAGACAGCACACAGGAAGCACGGCACGAATGATCCACTCCGTAGTGAAACTCGTACCTACCTAATGGTCAGCGACGGTGAGACGGTGGGGGAAAGAAAGAGCTCCGACAATGGGAGATGCAACCAACATATCACGTCATAGCTCAGTCCAGCACAGTACCTACTGCATGAGAGGGGTTAATGACCGAGTTCTACGGATTTAGCGCACCTACAATTTTAAGAAGACGCCTTAGAAGCGCACCGACAGTAACCCTGCAGCAACGATACGCCACAGCGCTAAATACGGCTTTCGGAGAGTGACTCAAAGCGGCGCGTGTACGGCGTCCGGGACGGTGTTTACGCTCATCAGCTGGGTCTGGACTGCGAGCCTGCCTGCATCTCCCGGGATGTGCCCATCTAAAGAGCCGGTACCGGCAGCAGCAGTTGCCGCAGGCTCCGGGACGGCCGATGGGCGGCGTAAATGGCTGTGTAAACAAATAGCCCGGTCTACACTCCCGAGTCGGAGGCAGACGGATTAAAGGGTGACGTCACTGCCCTGGTCGACAGGGTTCCTTGTTGGAGGAGGATGGGGGACAGGGGTGGTGTCACCAGCTCGGTTTGTAACCCGTCCTGGGCGACTTACACAAGGTCACGGCCGAATGACACCGATAGAGCTCAGTCGCTGGCAAGTGGTCTCGAATGCCACTTGTCTGTCCCAAAGCGTGATTTAGGATACAGTCATCACATCTACCACCTGGAGAAAACCAAAATAAGGGAAAATGACAGTACGAAACGGCCTAGGAATTATTGCGTTACCAACAGAGCACCAGGAGTGCGGAAATGTACACCAATATAGAAAACAATGAACGAATGCTCTGATGTCATGCACATTACAAACAGCGGAAGCGTGTCCGCTGACTTGCTCCATTGCGGAAATTGACTAACGCACAAGCAACGACAGGAAAACAAGCGATAATATCTCCACTCCTGCAGCCTACCACCGCCGTGCCGTGTCCCGCTGGTATCCCATGTCCGTGAGCGGCCCTATCTGCCGTTTACGGCCTTGATAGCGGACGCAGCCGGCTGTGGCCGCTCCATTGTGTTTACAGTGGGCGCATTCGTCGCGACGACTCACAAGCGGCGGTGGCCGAGCGTCGCCAAAAACAAGCGAGCCGACAAGTGGGTTTACAAAACGGTGATACACACACACGCGGCACGCCGGGGACGGGACAAAGGGGCCTGGATGCTGGGCATTGAGTGCCGGGATGCAGCGGTATCGTACAGAGACAAGGGCAGCTGATTATGTCCAAGACCGCGGGGATGGACGGACCCGTAACACAGCAGCGGCGCATATGGAAAGTGATCATAACACCACGCCCCCATTCCGATATCGTCGGGCCAGCTATTGGAGAGACCACACGCCTGAAGGCATGCACAATCGAACACCTCGACCAGCTGTGAAACATAGCTCTGCTACTGGAAGCCTACTGGTGTACCTGGTCTGTCGAATCCGAGGCCGTGGATAAAACGCACGGCTCGCTAGCCACGTCAAAACCAATACCGTAGCAATCACCGTCGAACCACCCATCTACCGCTGTTATAGCACCGAGTTGTCTTTATCAAATAATATCTGCATCAGTCACACCCAACACAAATCTTTCACACAACACACTCTTCCATCCTCTCACCGCCCACAGCTCTCCCTCCCCACGTCCCACCGTCCTCCCGTCAGACACCTACCTACAGCCGGCGCACTCCGATCATTGGTCACCACCTTCTTCAGCCTGGCTCCCTTGTGGATGTCACTGAGCAGTGCCGCCCGGTCGGGCCCCTTGGCGGCCGGTTTCCGAGGGGGACCGGCAGCCGGCGGCGGCGGCGCTCCGGGAGGGGGCGGCGGCGGCGGTGGAGGCGGCATCACGGCACCTGCCAGTCACTACCTGCAGATGGAAGCAATGGCTGGTTAGATGACAGCCCATATAGGCCATAGGGAAGCAGCAGGTACTGGGAAAAGCGGGGCACAATTTACAGCATACAATTGAAGATGAACACAACTGTGAGAACAATTCTGGTGGCATCAATCAGGTGGAACAAACTGTGAGAACAGAGAGTGAGAGCAAATATGTTGGCAAAGAATGAATCATTGTCATTCCAGTAGTACATGAGGCATAGCATTTACACTAAGAATCTAATAAATCAATAGCAGTAAAATACAAATATTCAAGCAGCAATAGCCTAATGCCTAATAAACTAGCACTGACCCTGATTGGTCATATGAAAGAGCTAAGAAAAGCTATGGAAAGAACTCACATGAAAAATAGGACTAAATTTAATTTGTAAAATGAAATAAATTAGTTGTTTATAGGTATTGATCAAGAATGGTATCAAGGTCTTTAAGTTAAATGCTGGCTAGGCAACATTTGACTTATAACTACTAACAGCATTCTCAATGTTTCTTCAGCCCTTTCTGATAGCCCTGTTATTATTTGTCACCTGCTTCCCATTTTAACGATATTCAAATGGGTGCCTCAGCCCTTGACAAAACTTTCTCCATTCTCACACTTCTGAATAGGAACAAACTAAGGCTATGATCTGTCATGTTGGGCTAGGCTAGGTTAAGCTAAGTTGTTTTTATTCTGATTTAAAACAGCAGCAAAAATATACTGACAACACTTACAAACCCAGAGAGGGGTGTTTGGGCAAGTGCCTCCTGTAGTTAGCAATACCCCAAAAAGACACAAATTACATGGCCCCTCCTTCAGTCCAAAATGTAAACAGCTCAACAATATTCATTACAAAGGGCTTCTTTTAATCTGAACAGGAGAGTAAAATCTGAGGAGTTTCAGTTTTAAAGATACAGAGAAACTGTTTGGCATCTGTAAAGCTGTGTCACTTTTTGTTTTGGCGTATAATTTATACATAGTAGCCAGTAGATGAGAAACCGCAAGGTAGATTGTAGATTGTCGATTGTAGTTTAACATTGCAATTGGTAGGTTGTATGACTGTAGGTGAAAGTTAGGCTAGATACATCAACAGTGATACAGGCTTTACCGATGCCACATTTTCATGGATGTTCTCTCCGCAGCACCCAACTGCTTTTCTGGGCGGACTGGGCCCACCAGTGCCACACAAACACAAATATTCATCCTGGAATCACTGATGCAGTCTCACACAAACATCAGCATTATCAGGTCAGTAGCTTATGGGGTGGACATGGTTGAAAGCTGATAAATTTATCATTATCAATAAAATTGAGGCTCTCACCTGACACTTATGTTGAATTTCTTCAAGCAAATATAAAATGGGCTATACCTATCTAAGAAGCATTTTGCTAGCCTACAATGTCTTCTATTTACCAGCGCAAAACACTCGAAACTCGAAAATTCACTCAGCCTGAAGTAAAATAGAAATGAATCATTCTCACACCCCATGAGATGTTCTCACTCTGGTTCTCACAGTGCTCACAGTTTACTGCACTGCTTTGAGTACGAAGTGCCGTTTAGTAGGAAAGAATAGAGATATTTACCTTAGAATACCCTTTTTGTTTAAAGGAACGGACAAAAAAGCAATATCTTAAACGTCGTAAATGTCCTTTAAATGTGAAACAGAAAATAAAATTATTAAAACTGGGCTGAATTATATATACTAGAAATCAAGCTAGTAGAAAAAGGTCGAGTGAGAAAGAGCTGCTAGCGCTATCTAGCGACTGAATAACAAACTTATGGTTTGGTGGTTAAGTTATAGATAACAGTCACGACTAATTTGATGCCAATGATAAATGTGGCTTTATATAAAAAAGAAATGCACGGCAGTAATTTGCGTGATGTGTTTGTTTTATCAGAAAACCATATTTTTCGTGCGTAAAAACTTCATTGTAGTCAGCTATAGTCCATGGCAGTATGGCTAAATAATATGAATAAGATCAATGAAGGCTAGCAAAGATTTAGCTTATATACACTGTGGATTTAGCAAGGCTCTTTGTGAAAAGTTAACATAACTGAAATAAATGATGATTTTTTATTATTCACAACAAGATTCTTAATCGAAAGTCGACGAGAAGGCCAGGATGTATATAGGAAACGTTGAAAAAAAACTGTATAGCTCTTATCTCATTCTTAGCAGTGGTTTAAAAAGCAGTTGTAAATGTGACGTCTGCGTCGACAACGTCACCTCACGACTCACGGCCTCAAACACCTCGCTCAAAACACAAAACACGAAAGTTTCGTGACCTAGCGCTATCGCTGTACGGCGTGGATACGGAGCTGGCGGGAAACAAAGTAATTTATTCGATTTTTGGTTATATATTTTAATTGTAAGTATTTTATAATTTTCCATAATTCATCACCAGGTTTTTATAGCCTTGATCCAGCACATCTGTTTGAATACAATTTAAATTATTTAACTGTATGCCATGATAATTCAGTAGGTGGAACTATGGTCATGAGTACCCAAATATAGGAATGTTCCCATTTTTGGGAACATGGGCGTTCTCATTTATGAGAACGGAAGGTAATTTTTGGGCCGTTCGCCCACTAAAACTCATTACCTAGTGCATCACGTCTCAAAAAAGTGCACGCTAATTTAAGTAGGTACCTATCAACTAAGTCTCTATAAAATTATCTTTAATCTGACCGTTGAACAAGGAAATTGACCGTCGAATGATATTTTGAATGATTTTTTGAAATGACGGAATGGTGAAAACATGGGTTATACTACTTTTAACATGCAATTTTAAAGGTAGTGTGCCACCTTTGAAAGATTTCCCATTTTATTTTTCCTAGGATAAGAAGCTTCTGTTTTTACCTAATATCGCAAAAAAATCAAAAATGGGCCTGGAATAGTGCCTTTTTCGCCTAAAAGTTTTTCGGTTTTTAGATATGTATAACAACTGTAGTGGGCTCACCTGCAAACAGGCGTCGGGCAACAATCGCGAATGCGGCGCACTTGTGACAATAAGCAAAGGTCATTATAGTGTTACGACCATACGACATACGGGAATGAGTTATCAGCTGTCTAATCGTAGACAACACAATGTCCACAGTGTATATAAATATAGACAATGTCGAGCCTTAAACTGTAAGCCCGTATTGGTATTGTTTCTTTTATTTGGCTGTCGAACATTATTTATGGTTTGAAATATGATTTTATGTAAAATAATTGATATGAAAAAGCCGTCTTATAAGTTATGACCCCATTTCACCACACGCAAGTGGCAGAAATGACAATGATCAGCTGACGCATTTTTCTTGGCCGAAGTCAGAGCGCGCGGCCCGACGCACCACGCGTATTTGGAAATTCCGACCTCGACAAGCATCAGAAGCCACCTAACAGGCGTGTTCGAAACCGCAGGAGATGATGATGAACGGGTTTATCGAAACTTGATTGGATGAGCATATCGGTAATAGCGATTTCAGTGTGTGCATTTATTGTTCATAGTGGTGTGAAATGTGGTTGGGGTACGACCGACAACCCGTCGGGGCGAATTTCGCACTGGGGTACTCAAAATTTGAAGAATTTAAGACGTTTCCATGAGTTTTGAAGGTATGGATAAGTTCTAAAAATCCGGTTCTCCTTATCTGGGCCATTAACTCCATACGGTCCAAGAAAGCTGGCACACTACCTTTAAGGAAAATGAAGCGTTTTTTATATTTTGAGGTCAAGTAGAATAATTTTTGCCTGGTTATGAAGTTTCATACTAGCGACACCAGATGCTGACATATGCAAGCGAACACGCGTCAGTCCCGAGGTAATATTGTTGACTTTTGGTGTCGGGGCGCATGACCGCGTATAACGTCAGTGATTTTATAGAACTACTGTTGTAAACTCAGTTTCAGTGGTTTAAAATTATTCAGCTGTGTTTTATCAGCCCGGAAAGACATATTTTATTTGGATGCTAGCTGTTTAGCGTTGTTTTATAAGGAGCGTCATGAGCGTGGTTTTTGTCTTCCGTGTTTCTAAGCATGATCGTTTTGGGGGAATTTCTCTTATATAGGTCGCTCTGTGTGGCTTATTTATAATTTTTATGCTGATTTCGATCATTCCTTGTGCCCATCATACCAGGCCTTTTGCCACTTACACTCATTAAGAAAGGAAAAAACTAGATTTTCATTGGGACTTTGTGTTTTGAGGGTGTAACATATTCAGCGTTCCCATTTTTGGATACTTCCTTGTGCTCGTCAACTATCGGTGATAAACAGACAGGTGCTTGACATGTCTCCACCCTCGGCGCGGACGGTGGATATAGGCATGGGACTGGGAGACCTTGTTGAACATTGCTGAGCGTTGTGAATTACGTAATCCTGCAGAGGTGCCCGCTGCGAGATCGACGGGAATAAAAGCGCAGAAGACCGGGCGAAACATGCGACGGTCTTGCTGGAAAGGCCATCTGATGATTGTTGCGTTAACAATAATTTGCGGCGTTGGACGTGATGCTTGTTAATGAAAAGAGCCCCTGAAAGGCGTCGGTGAAATCGTTCCAAATTTTGGGTACACCGTTCCCATAATAAGGAACGCTTGCAGCGCCAGTGTACGAGAGCGTTCCCAAATTTGAGCTCGCGGCCCGGATGATGGACTGCTTTAGAAATAGGGGAACGATTTGAAACACGATGGGCCTTACAATATCAAACTCTTTCCCAACAATATTGAGACAAATATCAGGCGGTTCACGATCGTTTTATATTTTTTGGACGTCATTTAACGGTTCTTTTTCTTGTTTTAAATAATGCCTTCATGGCGTTCCCATATTTGGGTTTATCGTTCCCAAACATGGGAACGAAAATGCGTTCCAGAAAATGGGTACGCTTGACCATAGTTCCGCCTACTGAATTAAGATATTTTAGTTTTTGTCATTAAATTGGTTATTGGAATGTAGTTGCCTACCTATCTTCCTGCCTATCATATCAATAGGTTCTTTACTCAGTTGTTGGAAATTGAAATGAATGTGTCTTTGTGAGTTTCAGTGGTGAACGGTGAGAACGGCGCCTGAGGCCATTTCAGCGGCGTCACCATGGTTTCAGAACTTCAAGGGACACTTTTCCACGCCACAAACCTTTGCTTGAGTCTGGTCGCCAATACCCACCTACCGGCTACCCCCAAATCTGCGTTCCTCGTTTGATTTCGGCCACCGTACTTTAAAAACGAGGGAGAATACTTAATATTTAGTTGGGAAAAAACGAAGAAGTTACCTGGTAGTATGCATATTCTTTGATAATGAAACGCGTGCCCACATCCTTCTGCCTATGCATGTGAAACATTAGTATGCATTAAATCGTATAATCGGCTTTAACTGCTCATCCTTGAGCCAGCCGCCATTTCCATATCAGGCCCTGGAAATGGGCCTGATACTAGGCCCATTTCTCCCGATGGGCCTGGTAATTGGTATCTATTTTTTGGGGGGTCAAAATCTTAAAGTTTTAAGGATCCGAGATAGCAGTTTTGTAGCCCTGTTAATTCGACACCTTTTATGTCTGAAATATTTTTCTGTATCTCTAAAGCTGTAGGCCTGACAGCTCTTTCCGCGAAATCTTTTTTTTTGTCGAAAATGGCAGAAATGACGTCACTCCGACGTCATTAGCGGCCAACCTATCATAGTCTTTGGAAAATGTGTTGGTCATAATGTGCAAAAGCTATTCACGGGAGGGTACTGAACGTTTGGTGACGATCGGCGCAGCGGTTCTGGAGATATATCGAAAAAACTAAGGGGGGAGGCAAAAAATGCCCCCCACCCCCGGGAAGGTTAAAGGCTAATTAGCAATACAAATAATGGCAGTAGCTGTTCAATTAATGCAGATTGGGCACAAGCAGGCCATTTCATTAGAATGTCCTGAATTTGTAGACCCTATATATCAGGCAAGTTGGTTATCTCGCAGCACTTTCTACCTGAACCATGAAATTATATTATAAGCACAAATTTGTTGTCATGTATCGGTGTTCTTTGCTGACCTTTCACCTTCATCCTTCTTATCATCTCTTCATTCAAAATTTCAAAGCAAAATACAGATTCCCTAGTTCCTATATCATGGTCAGGTTCCATGTGGGTGACTTTACTGATCTTTTCCAGGTTGTGAATCATGTCTGGAAAAAGGGTGAAAAGAAAGGCACCGGTGAGTTATTATTACCTACGTTGGATGCAACGTTGAATCATTTTTCAATGTGTCAAATCTGAATTAGGGATCATGGAGGGATTTGTCATTTGTATCAATGGCTGTGAAAGGTATATGTTATTTAGCATTGCTGGTCGCAACTGAAGGGGCCAGTGTTTCACCACATCTTTTGAAATTCACTTTGACCCATCATTCATCATACTGGCTAATTTGATTTATTTGTTTTCGCATTTCTACCAAAAATTGCTGTTCCAATGATCTGTTTTGTGTCACTCTCAGGAGACACCGCTTGAGGAGAAACCTACCAAGGAGGAGTATGCCGTCGCCAAGTACATCCGTGACAATATACCAAACAAGAAGACCAAGTTTATGCACCACCCGGTGCAGTATTTCACGGCCGGTCGCGCGGTGGACGCGCTGCTCGACTCACCCTGGGCCTCCGGAGAGAAGAAGCACCCGATCCTATTCACAGACCGACAGTCGGTCGTCGACTTCCTGGACATGTGAGACACTTTTTTCGGGCTCCTAATGTGTGCTGCTAAGGCGGTAAATCATATCGTTCCACTGCTGGCTGAGGGATAATGATTTGAGATTAAAGCGCAGCTGAGACTTCAGGCGGGGTGTCGAAACTTAACGAAATGTTCAGTGAATATTTGCTTTTGCCTAGACTACTGTATTACTGATATGGAGTAGTCTAGGGCTTTTGGTTTTATATTTGGCATAATATTTCTTCGGTTGCGTGGTGTGATTCACCGAGTACCGTACGTCGTTTGTCGGACGGACGAAAACCGGTCTGTTGCTCCCGGGGAGAAACAATAGCCGGGCGGTCGGGCCTTCTGCCACGTCAATAACGGCCGACCGGAAAGATGGACAATCGATCCTCGTTCGACCTTCCGCCCCCTCCGTCCGGCATGGTTTCCGAGACGTCTCGCGTCCCGGCTGGGATCGGTCGGAGGCATGGCTTTATCTCGGAACTTACGGTGAAATGACTGTGATCATGATCACCAAATTATTACTCAGATGGGAGGAAAACGGCAGTAATTTATTCTATTGTCGAATGCTAACGATAGCTAAAACATCAAATGCGCATTGCCCCCATCCCTCACTCTCCGAAAGAAAGTTTAAAATTTAGCTGAGTCGATTCTTACTTTGTCTATTGATATCGATTTTCTTTAAAGAGTCCAAGCCCGCTATCATAATGCCTAATAAATGTGTCATTAAGTTTGTCGGTAACTTCAATCGTATTATTTCTTAAGCTCTTCAGGTCGTTATGTCTGTTACGTTTGTCTGGCGCCACTAAAGACACATGTAGTTCGTTAAATTATTGGCCACCATCTGATTTTATTCTCGTCCATTGTTCTTATTTGCCAGAATGTTGCGGCACAAGTTCTTCCACCGTGCGAAGAAGATCGCCATCACAGACCGCGACCTGCGGCGCAAGGAGCTGAAGAAGCTCAAGAAGAAGGAGGATGAGGAGCGGAAGAAGAAGGGCACCACTCGGGAGGAGAGCGAGAGCGACTCGGGAGAAGATGAGGAGACCAAGGAGGCGGCGGAGCGCAGTGCTGCCGACGAGCCGGCCGGCGAGCCCAGCGCCGCCGAGGGAGACACCTCGTCACCAAGGGCCAAAAAGAAGAAGGTGAGCGTGAACTTGGAGAAGTGTGCTTTGTAAGCAGCAGCCCTCCCTGCTGTGGCAAGTGTGTTTATGTGTAGATCATGCGATATGTTAGTGTGAAGATGACGATGAGTGAGCGTGAACTTGGAGAAGTGTGCTTTGTAATGCAGCCCTCCCTGCTATGGCAAGTGTGTGTATGTGTAGATCTTTGCATCAGTTTAGATCATGCGATATGTGAGTGTGAAGATGACGATGAGTCTCGCTTTTGTCTGCACATTCATCACATTCGATGACCTCGCAGGAGTCCGAGGAGGGCAAGCCGAAGCGCCGCGTCAAGCTGGACATGCACCTGGAGCAGGTGTTTGTCGACGGTAACGACGCCTACGTGTGGATCTACGACCCGATCCCGACGCACTACTGGCTGCTGGGCATTCTGCTGGTGCTGGCTATCGTGGCTGTGTGTCTGTTCCCGCTGTGGCCGGCCAAAGTCAGGTCAGTCGGGTGGCGGGAAGCGGGGCGGTGTACCGACTACCGACCCTAGAAGGTCCCGGTGCACACCCACCCCGGTATCGATTTGCTGTCGGTGTAGGCTGGGGCGGCCCACGCCCCAGAGACCACCGGATTTATATCTCTGCACTGGCTGGCGGCAAATACGCAGCTGTTATTGCCGTCGTGGGATAAAGTTTTGATAGCAATGCGTGTTTGCTCAACGGTTATGCTCATTGGGCTGCCAGAACTTTATTATGCTTCAATTTCAATTGTTTGCGAGGGGTCAAGTTTCATAAAATGTGCGTTTACTTTGATGTGTACTTAATACTTATTGTTACGCGTTTCGTAGCTCGTCGAAGGTAGACGAACTTCAAACGTCGCTCTCTTCGGTTGTACCGATGGTTTGTCTGTTAAAGTACCGTGTTTCGATGACAACATGTCAGGCTGTACCTGGCCTCCCCATGTTCACACTGCTCCCCACAGCTGTGCTGGAATCTGCGTGCCACTCTAGCGCTCTCCCCGTCCGCTGCGTCCCCAGAGAGTACGTGTACTACCTGTCGCTGGCGGCCGCCGGTTTCCTCGTGTTCATCCTGGCTCTCTCTGTGATCCGCGTGGTGGTGTTCGCCCTCGTCTGGCTGGTCACCATGGGCAGACACCACCTCTGGATCCTGCCGAATCTCACCGAGGATGTTGGATTCTTCGCTTCGTTCTGGCCCTTGTATCAGGTGAGATGGGCTGGAGGGAGGTACACGATCACAAGTCAGTTGAGTGGGACGTGGTGTTACCCTTTCGGGTCAGTCGAGTGGGGAAGGCCATCTCTCCTTGTTTGCAGGGCAGAAGCTATTCTGTCTTGGACTCCAATTAAACGGTGTTGTGACTTGTCATTCACCATTCAGGAGTCGGCGTTTAAAAGTGCAAGTAGACTGACGCTAGAAGTATCAATGATGAGCTATCGGACTGCACTGCTGGTTGCGTTAGATTAAAAATCGACTTTAGTGCTTTCACGAAATGGCATTACTTAAGTTGCGTATTTTTATTATTTTAGTGATCTGCATTTGACGCTTCCCGACATTTGCTCCCTCAGTACGAATACCGGGGTCCTAAAGAGGATAAGAAGAAGGAGAAGCGCAAGAAGAAGAAGGACGCTGCTGCGGAAGGAGAGAGCGGCGATGTTTCGGCGACCAAATCTGAGGACAAACCGGCTGAGTCGGCGCCAAAGGCCGACCCGGGCGAGGCGGAAGGAGGGCAGGCCGAGGACGGAACTAAAGAACAGTGAGTGTCCAGAGGCGACTTGGGTAATATGGGGTCATGGGACAGATGGACGGCGACCACAGAGAACAGTGTCCTCGAAGGGTTGAAATGGCCGGTAGATGGCGGTGACTGCAGTATCAGAACGAAACTGTGGCGTGAGACGGGTGAGACAAATTTCCAAAGTGTTGTAACACGGAGGCCAGACAGGGCAGGACTGATGGTCCTGGTCCAGCAGTCAAAATTCATGTCATTTTTCAGCTCGGTGAAGCCCAATGTGGTTCGCACGGACGGACTCGGTAGTATCGGCGTCGTTTTGTTTTTGATGATGCATCGATGTGCGACACCTTTCCCGAGTCATCTACTTGGCTAACCGTTTCGTCCCATTCCAACTGCTTCCTGGGACACCCACTGACCTTCCTCTCTATTCCTCAGGGACGGTGACGAGCATCGGGAGTCTGAGGGCGGCTCGGAGGGCAGCCAGCAGTCGACCGGTTCGTTCGAGATCCTGGAAAAGTCCGATGAGCCCGACACTGAGACGTAGGGTCCGGTCCGCGCGTCCGTCCGTCCGTCCGTCCGTCGGTGGTGGCTGTCCTCGTGACCGGTCAGTCGCGCGGGCGGCGGGCAGTCGGCGACGGCGGCTCTGTTATGATTTGATCGAAAGACGAGTGCACAAGTTATAGGTTTGATGGCTAGGCGTTAGGTAATTAATGCGTACGTTTTAGTTTGGATCGGCTAGTTTTATTTGTTGTTTGGTGTCACGGGCATTGGTGTTGTTATAAATTTTTAAAGTTTATTTTAATAAAATTGAGGAAAATTATTTCACGAAATTGTCCGATATCTTTTTTGTTGAAGCTATTTTTTGGAAAGGCGCTTGAATCAAATTGGTCTTTCTGTCGATCGAGGGGTCACAAAAAAAAATGATGTGATTAACGTGGCGTCGAGTGTGTCACCACTCCTTCACTTTGGCCGCCAGGTGAATTTTGAAGGATTTGGGAACATGGTCAAGGAGACACGTTTATCATTCGCGTTTAAACTGATTAAATCGTGTTTCAGTCTGTGGTCAACAAGATCTTCGGTGTAAGTCGGGCACAGGTTTATAAATACACTAAGAGCTGTAATTGTACATAAACCTAGGTTCTCGCAGAAATATATTAGGTATATTTCCTAGCCTGTGTGATGGGTTACCAAGGTTAGGGTACTATTTATTTAAGTGTGCGAATACTATGTGGCTGGCTGTTGCGATCTTTCGTCACGGTAGGATGGTATCTCTGCCGTGCTGTATATGGCGGAGGCTGTCGCGTTGAGCATGGACGGCCGGCGGCTCGGTGCACTGCGCTGCACAGTGGGCGATCCGGCCGGTGTAGCCTCGCGAAACCTATCGGCATTCATAACATCCATGTTTTTGAAGCTAGAACCACAATATTTAGGAGCAACCTTCTTGAATATCCAATGAGCATATATTTTAAATAAGGACTATCTCGTATAGGATTTGTGCTCTGTGGCGAGCTTGCAATTTGCCTAATTGCTGCTCGAATAACGCATGAATACTTTTGAGAGTAGGTCGAAATTTATGACGGTATGAGCTGGGTAGGACATTGAAATGGTGTGTACCTCCGTAGAAAATTGCTTCCAAACCATTTTTTTATTCAAACGATTATGCTCTACCAATTTATACATATCATGAAACAGCGTAAATCTCGCCCGGCAAGGCCCCATTTCATAACGTGACCCAAGCAGCGGCTTTGGTTTTTGGTAAATAACTTCGCAAAAATGGCCGCAGAACCACGATTTTGACATCGTCGTGTTCGCCTTGCTCAGGCGCGTCGAATGGTATACTTTTGTTCAGGTGAGGCCACCGTAAGGTCAACCTGACCTTGACCTCGAGTCAAGGTAAGGTCAGAGGTCTTCAAATCACGAAGTTGGTCGAAGGAGGTCATATCGCATATCATTCGATTCGGCAGGTCTTCCGGAGTCCATTGGTGACCTTTTCGACTCTCTAGCTCAACTTAATCGGGAGTTATTGACGAAAAACTCGTATGACCCTAATGACGTCATAAATGACGTCATGCAAGGTCAACAATGCAAAAATGCAGCATCAGATCTTGCAAGGAGTGCATGGAGTAACGATTCCGTGTACTTGAGACAATTGAATATCATTCCTGGCGCCAAAATAACAGTTTTCATATTTCCCCATTGAATTATAGGTGAGGTCACGTGACCAACCTGACTTTATGTGACATTTAGGGAAAGTCTGAGATATAAAAGTTGTAAGACCTCTAAAGGACAATAAGTCCTGCAAGTCTCACCTTCCTGTGAAAGTTACTCTGGCACTGAGAGCGTTGCAAGGTTGCGATATCTGAGGATCGTGCAGAGGTTCATGTATGACGTCATAGATCAGTGACCTGACCTGACTTGAAAGTGCGGTTGGTGTCACAAGACCCAGCGTGCATCAAAGGTCAGGTATGCCAGGTTGCAGCTCTCTATTGCCTGGGTGTTTTGAGCTATCGCGAAAACTCGCTTTGGGGCATTTACCACTTGTGCTCAAGTGCACCAAGCCACGGCCAACCCTTAGAAGAAAAAGTGTCTGGATGCCAGGGCTGCAAGTGGCTGCAAATTTTCACTGGCTCCCCTAATAGATAGTGTCTTAGTGCATGCGATACAGCATTAATTTCAGTTCATCCTCGTAAAACTTTTTTTGCTGGGCTTGGTTCATTCAGTGGACGTAATGTTTAGTGGTAGAAAAAAATATAAAAAGTTAACCTAATTATAAGACATTTTGAACTGATTTTGTCTACTTGCTTTCTATGGCGGAATCGTCTAAACATCTAAATTTCACTTTCCATGCAAAATGGATACTCAACACCTAGCAATTTCATCGTTCCGCAAAATATTCAAAGAGCGTAAAAATCGGCTGTGATTATCCCCCTTATGAAGTGTTACGGAACGCTGTCTTTAACGATACTTTTGTCTACGAATAAATGTCTCCTGAGCCATGCAAATGCACTAATCGTAATCTTTGATGAATTTTCTGTCGACTAGTATGCGTTGTTTTCCAATTTTCGGAAAAAAGTGTCTTTGAGGTTTCGCGAGGCTAGACCGGCCCGATCGCCTACCGTGCGCTGGTCGGAGCCCAGCGTCTTTGCGCTGCGACTGTGGCTGGGTCTGTGAGCTGGCTCCGGGCACTGACACGCCGGCGGAGCAGTGGTGTCTACGGTACGGTCATGTGACCCGGGCGGACGCCGCTGTCCTCGTGTGCCCTCGACATCGGCTCGCAGGACCGGTTCGTTCACGCTTCGTTCGCGATGCACGAAAGGCGAGGACACGACGGAAAGTCGTGCGTCTTTCGTTATTTTTGTATGCAGGAGAGCGGTGCTGGCACGTGCGAGTTTGTTGTGCGCGCGCGAAAGGTACATCTTATCGCCCGGAAGGTCGTCTGTCCGGGCTTCACCCCTCTCTCCCACCTCTCAGCTCTCTGTCACGGCTATCCCAGCTCGACCGCCGCGGTGTCTTGCAGTTAAATCGGTGTCAGTCTGTCGGTCCCGGTACATCCTCGCGCCGCCCGGCTAGGGTCGGCGGTGTCGGCACACGTCTCTCAGCCGTCGCGGCCCTGTCGTCGGCGGTCGCCGTATTTTTGTATATCAGCTGCAGTGGATGGCGAATAAACGTGTGCTGCACTGACATGTTTGATGGGTCGAACTGACAAGGGATTTGATGTGATCAGGCGTGAAAAACGCTGTGTCAAGCTGGAAATTATTTCATTGCTATGGCTCGCAAGCTCAGCAAATTTGTTTTCAGCAATGGTCACAGTGAGCTGAGGCAACGATGAATTCCGCGCGCACTTTTATGACGAGCTTATTCATATTTCATTTTTATGCAGATTTCCCTCGGGGTGTTTTTTCCTGTGCATTGTTTTCTAATGCTATTTTCTGCATTACGTTTTGTAGTCTTGGCAATTTGAGTTATGACAGCTATGTCGATAAACTTGCCCTACTATGGCGCACTTTGAAAGACCTTTGCGGTGAACTGTTGTATATTTGTATGTACATTTTTCAGTGAGCAATGACATTGGACAAACAAGTAGTGATGTCGTTTTCCAGTCAGAAAGCGTCAGTTTGTTCGACGGTGACATCAGTTGGCGAATATTTGCTCGGGTTGATGACGGCAGAGCGGTATCACTTTGGTCGGTCGGTGGAGCAGCAGCGTCTCCTACTGGAGGATGACGATGTTATCATCGGAGGCGGCGATCAGATTCGGGTCGCGCTGGCCGGCTCCGTTCTCCCCGAGCTGCGGCAGCCGCTGGCCGGCTCCGTTCTCCCCCAGCTGCGGCAGCCGCTGGCCGGCTCCGTTTTCTCCCAGCTGCGGCAGCCGCTGTCCCGCTCCGTTCTCCCCGAGCTGCGGGATCGAGTCTCCCTCAGCGCGATAGCCGTTCTCGTCAGCCACCCAGCGCACCTCGACGGGCACATCGTTTCCGTTCTCGTCCTTGGCCACGAACGAGTAGCTGCCCTGCATGATGATGCCAAACTCCTCGCCGATCTGCTTCAGCTGACCGGAGACCTCCTGTTTGATCTGGTCGGCCGTCTCGAAGGCGTACTGGAACGAGCCGTCCTCCGCCTGAGAGGACTCCATGCGGAGAATACCGGCGTCGGCCAGCGTGGCGGCGGTCTGGGAGGACTGGAGGCCGTCTCCCTGCGGACGGGCCGCCGCCGCCGCCACCAGACACGCCAGGACCAGCTGAAACGGCACGGAGGGGCGGGGTCAGAGGGACGGAGGGCCAGCGCACGGAGGGACAAGGTCAGCGGCACGGAGGGACTAGGTCAGCGGCACGGAAGGGCGGGTTCAGCGGAATGATCGGAATTTGGGGAATGGCGTATCATAGGTTTGAACCCGATTTATTAATAAAAGGTACTTACTTTTAAGCATGAAAAGGTACTCCTTATGAAGCCTTCTGAAGGCAAGTGGTTTTTATTAGTAAAAAAAAAAAACTTATGGTTAGGCTTCCAGAATGAGAAGAACTCCAAGCTGATCCCCTAAATCGGCTCAACAAATATGTCAACACCTTAACAGCTATGGCAACGAGCCCTGCATTTGCCTAGAATGCTCCTTTACCAGCTACTTACCAGCTTCATGACTCTCGAGGATGGACCTCTGGTGTTCCAATGGAAATACCTCACAGAACTGATGCACCCCGGCACATCGCCGCGTCTTTTATACAACTCATCCCCCGCACTCGATGCCAATAGTGTTGACTCTCGCGAACGGTGGACTCGAGTCAGCCCCCCCCCCCCCCCCCGCTCGGTCCCCCTGGGTCACGGCGGATCGCCTGTTCAAACACAGGCCCGCTGCCGCGGTCGGCGCCGACGTCACTCGGGCAAACGGAGTCGCTTCTCCCGCATGCTAATAGGCCGCCGCGCCGGCTGATGTGAGGTAATGCCGGACACTTTTACCAATCAGCCGTGGAGGACGCGCTTCACTGGTGTCTCAACAGGCCATCGCTGCCGAATAGTGGTCGTAGAGTGCTTACTATAAACAGTGACAGAGCGCGGCTTATGCCGATTATTATTATTTTCGAAGTTCGATATTGTGGGGATGTGTCTCTGATAGTGCTGAGCAGGAAGAGCTAGCACCCTTAGCGGCGGGAAGGGGCAATACGTGATGGTCCCTCTAATGGACCCCGTTTCTCACTTATGGTACGCCATTGACAGCGAACAGAAAAAAAATGTGCACCTGCAGTCATCGGCTGGACCACGCCCCGCGCTACCTGAATTAGGTATTATCCCAGGGCTTTAAACTTTAACCCTCGCTGGACCTATTGCTTTTGTACATACATATGCGCCGGCCGAGGGGGTTGGTGCGACCGTGCGAACCCCCCCTCGCCATTTCGCCCCTGATGGAGCTATAGCGTCGCGGAAACAACGAACGTTTGCGCCGTTACTAGACACAGCGACTGGCACCCAGTTTTAAGGTCTCAGGTCAACCGGTAACCTCTAAGGTCAGAGGCCAGTTTTACCAACAGAAAAATAGCCGCCTGCCGGATTTTTTGCCTAAAGACCGCCTCATGTACGGAGCGTAAACGGTAAAGCCCTATCCGCTTACGCATCGTGCAGTAATCTTGGGTAAAACTGGCCTTTGGTCAAGTGACCCAAGGCACGGGTTCAGTTTTGGATGAATAATTTTGCAAAAAAAAAAAACGGTCGCAGCGCCGCCATTCTGACATCATCGTGTTCGTCTCACTCAGGCGCGTCGAATGGTATACCTTTTCTTCGGGTGAGATCAACCTGAGGAGTTGACCTCGGGTCAAGGTCAGGTCAGAGCCCCCAGGTCACGAAGTTGGTCGAAGGAGGTCATATCGCATATCATTCGATTCGGCAAGTCTTCCTGAGTCAATTGGTGGTTTTCCTGACTCGCTAGCTCAATTTGATCGGGAGTTATTGACGAAAAGCTTATGACCCTAGTGACGTCATAAACGACGTCACACAAGCTCAACAATGCGAAAGTGAAGCATCGGACCTTGCAAGGATTGCAACAAATCACGATTCCGTGTGCTTGAGATGGGTTGACTTGAGATCGTTCCTGGCGCCAAAATAGCAATTTTTTCTCCATTGACTTTTAATGGTGAGGTCATGTGACCGAGCTGACCTCATGTGACCTTAAAGGAAATAGTTCACTTTTTAACATGGGTTTTGAACTGGAATAGCAGTTCCGTAGCTTGGGCTGAGACGAGCATAAATCAGGAGCTTTTACAGCCCAACGATCACCCTAGGCAAAGATATTCTATTTCTCGTCCCGAAAAAGGTGTCTTGCGTTGAGGATGTGTGCCTTGCATATATTTCCATCCAGTATGAAAAGAGCATGGGTCCCGAAAATTCTTCAGAAACTAGAGAAATTATCTACGAGAACTCTAGAGAAATTCTCGTACTGATCAATTAGGACATTCAGGGGAACATTATCAGATCGAGCAGATCGCCCAAATGCCGGTGGCTGCGATAATTTCTCTGTTTCTGAAGAATTTTCGGGACCCATGCTCTTTTCATACTGGATCGCGTGTGCCTTACAGAAACTGAAAAGTTCTTCCTATATCAAAATATAGAAAATAATATTTTGTTATAAAAAGGTTTTATTTTCTTTGCTGATTATTTTGAACATAAAAAATCATAAATCCGTTGCAAAAAAAAATAATTTCGTGAAAGTGAACTATTTCCTTTAAGGAAAAATCCGAGATATACAAGTTGTGAGACCTCTGGAGGATACTACTTCCTGTAAGTTTCATCTCCCTGTAAAAGTTCCTCTGGCCTAGGGCGTTGCGAAGTGGTGACATCTGAGGACCGTGCAGAAGTTTATTTATGACGTCATAGGTCAGTGACATGTCATGAACTGATCTGAAAATGTGGTTGGTGTCATAAGATCCGACTTGAATCAGAGGTCGGGTATGCCAAATTTCAGCTCTATCGCCTCATATTGCACTATAAAACTTTATAACGATTCATTTTTTTCCACCCCACAATCTCCCGAGCTGGGACGACATTGCCGGTAAACCTGAACTACCGTTATCAGCGATTCATTCTCCTTGTCTGCAGCCGCAATCAAAGTACACAAATTACTTTCTACTGGATTGCAGGCTATTCTGAGCACGTCCCATGGCTGCTTTGGAGACCTTGTGAACCGAGCGCTAACACTCAGCGCTTACAGCGTGTGGGGGCGGCCGTGTGGGAAACCCGCAAGTGTCCGGTAGACACCCCCTCCCGGTCTCCGTGAGTCGTGATGTAAGAGTGAATACACGGACGCACTTGAGAAAGACGGGAATGCCGCGGACAAACACGGAATATCACGGGCCGTGGCATTGACGGGAGCCATCGCTATTAGTCGCATTGGTGCCCCTGATGGGTACTTCAGGTACTTGACATTGGCAATGCCACGATGTTGCCCCTGACACTTGACAGTGACACGATAATATTCCGGGAGCACGGACGGCGAAGAGCAGCACCCCGACAGGAGCAGAAAGACGGGTAACGCATCGTTGCCGGGCTGAATCTAAAGACTGAGTGTGAGAGCGTCGCTTCTCTGAAAGTGACGCTCACATGCTTCACAGAACCCGCTGTAGACCCCAGTTTGTGACGTGGGACAAGTATGAATCTGGGACAGCATGGAGACTCGGAAGTGCGCCGACCGTTCAGTCTGAAAACGGAGTTATATGTGATGGTAACATCTGACAGTAACATCTGATGGTAACATCTGACACTTGACAGTGATTATGGCTCTGTCGCTACCCAACGTCCTATAAGCCTAAAGGCACGTATGACGTACGCCTTTTGACAAACGAGGACAGACCATCCCTGTCCTCAAGCTGACGTCACACGTCCAAATCGGGAAACCATTCACTGTTTTTATATCAATTCCCTAAAAAGTTATAACTAAATATATTAAATTGGGAATTTGAGCAGAACTCCGATACCTACAGACAGAAAAATATCGAGATGCTGACGTAAGCAACTTGCTAATCGGATGATAGGTAATGCTGCTTTGATGCATGATGACGCAATATTTAAAAGAATGAATACCGGGCATTTGAGAGAAACAGCTACCTAGCTATTCAATAGGTGTCTTCGTTCGTCTGGCTGATCGCTACGAATCGACTGATGCCTATGTGGCTGGCTGTATGACGTTATCTGGCGTGATTATCAGGGTATATAGAGTGATTATAACCTTTAGCCATGGGGTCAAAAATCAGATTCCAGCTTGAACCTGATGATTCAGTTATGAAGCATTCAACGCGTCGGGATAAGAGAAGCATAATAACTATTTAATCGATGTGTTTAACGCAATTTATCCCAATGTCCAGTAGATATTTCTTGCTTTACAAAAATGTATTTGATGGGTTTGACCCCTGAACGCCATAGGTACCCAGACCCTTAACCGTTGACCGAGGTCAATTGAAAGGCAGGCGAGTGAGGGAGGTTCAAAAGAGCTTACCTAAGCATATCGGATACTTCAGTCTAGCTTTTTGTTTTAATTGTTCACGAGTTATGAGATGAACTGTTACAACTGCCGGATATGGACGTTAAACCTTAGAAGCTCAATGAGCTACGATGAACCGACACTATTTTACCTGCCCGAAAAATGAGATATATTTTCATACTTTCTTATATCAACGACTTTTTAGCTTTTACCGCATGTTGCTACGTTGTCCAAGGACCTATGATAGAGAGGGTGTTTCCTGTTTATACATTTTTGTGAAGATTATGTGTGTGTGCTGTTTGTAAAAAAAAAACTTGCCCCTTTACCGCCTGCCCTTCTCTAGATTTGAGCTTTACTATATGGTCAAGTGGACGATCTGACTTAGCGTGCACATTTCAAGCGTGTGCTTGTGTTTTGTTCCAAACAATGACCGAGCACGTATCTTTAACGATTACCTAATTTAATACCTATATTTCCTTTTGTAGTTTACATTGAATTATAACCTTTCATTTTTAACCCTTATCACATGGTTTACCTGCAATGACATTTGCTATAGGTATACAAGGATTGTTCACCGTGACGATTACAAGACTTGGCTCAGTGCAATATTTTCGCTTATGAAAATGAAAGAAGCTATCAGTCTATCAATATTGCTGTGCATCTTGACACCCTCGTCTAGACAGCTACGCTACCCCCCCCCCCTCCCCTGCCCTGAGTGTGTGAGGCTGGGGGTAACGGCCGAGGGATGACCCCGCCCCGCCCCGGCCCGCCCCTCCCGGCACACCCCGCCGCCTGCTCGACATTCGGGCAGTCAGCGGTCGGCAGAGCTACGGGAGGGTGCGAGCTGTGGACTGTCGCTGCCGTGGACGTCAGACGGCCGCTGTGGACTGTGGACAGACAGTGGACAGTGGACGGTGGACAGTGGACGGTGCATGGTGGACACGGACAGCAGTGAGAGCCACTGTCAGAGTTATGAAGCTGCCCGTGCCGACCGCGCTGATCCTAGCCGGCCTTCTGTGCGTGGCCGGCCGGCCCCAGGCATCCTTTTTCGTGCCGCCCGATTATATTGGGGCGGTCGAGTCGATACCGTTGGCCACAGAACCGCCCACTGGAAACATGGGCAGACTCTCACAAAGGTAGGTGGCGGGAAAATGGCCGAGCAATCTGTGATGAATGGTGCATGAAGGCTTAGGTGCAAGGAAAAACGATGTTCGAGCGAAGAGTCGGTAGAGAAGGACGCTTAAGACCATGCTGCAAATTGGCGTGTGAAAGAGCAAGCTAAATTTAAAAGGAAGTTTTATACACTTCATTTGTCTTATTGAAATTCACTTGAATCTTCAATTTTTAAAATGGCATTTTCGTTCAATACTTTTCGAGCTTGTTTATTGATCCACTCCAAGTTGCTTCTGATGATTCATGAACTGACTTCTTTGATGTTCGTTAAATGTCTGGAACGGCTTGGTACATATGATACGTGTTTCATAAACAAGCGGACATGTTTGACAAACATCGTATATCGGCATGCATTAGATCACTAATCAGATAGCGGTACTAGTGTTCCGGCAATTAGCCTTATAAAACGGCGAATCCCAACGATGTTGGCTCACGTCTCCCAGTTAATTAGTCTAAATATTTCGTCTAATATCGCCAGCAATGCACATGATTGCGCCATGTTTGGTATATCTCGTTAGTCAATGGTATGACCACCCTGACTTTGGCGCTAATTGGGTGCTCTGAACCGACCGACCGCGAGCCGCCTGTGTCTCCGTCTCACAGAGCCACTGCGCCCGCGCGTGCCGGTTCGGTGTTGGACGGGTCACTCAGTATGACCCGCGCGGACATCAGCCGGTGCTCCCGTGCGCTCCCGTGTCTCCCGACTGGGAGCTCCAGAGCTGCCAGTCAGCAGCGGCGTCAGCTGATGTTGGTAGCCGCCAGACAGTCTGACGCAGCATCCCGGTCGGACCACGTCACACACCAGAGAGGGTGGTTCTCTGGCTGTTTTTGCTTACCACCACTCCCCCTTCGCGTCGGCTGGCTGATGCAGAGCGGTGTCACTCGACGGGCGACGACTCTTCGATCGCGAACTAGACACCCCGGAATTTAGCCAGAGTCCATACAGGGCACGACGGCAATCCGCCGGCAAGGTGCTGTTCACTGTTGTCGCCCTCATGTGGAAAAAAATGATTATTTGGAATTCTTTTATCCAAAAACTTACGGATATGGAAACAAACTTATTGGTGGTTTGCGATGAACCATGGAAATTGTGCAACATGCACTATGGGGGGAGGGGGTAGAATGTTGCGGTACCGTATCGTGCTTCGATATACATATGTAAAGGAATTGAGAAAACTCAAACCTTATATGTAGTGCGCGCCTTCCGTCTCATCGCACAAGCTATAACATTTTTAGCAACACTTCTTTCTACCAATGATTAAAAGAAAAGGCAAAGTTATCGGCATTTGCAACAAATAACATAATGAGTGAATACGCGATACAAACGGAATTTGTTCATTGCATTGTTCGTCGACCACAAACCCGACTACAACTAGTTATGCATTAGGGCTAATTGTTATTCATTGATAGATAAAAAACATCGTTGCTATTTAAACCAATATTAATGTGACGTAGATATAACGTTTCAAAATTATTTTTAGTCAACTGAGCCCATGATCCTTTTAGGTGTTTACTGAGTTTACTGTTCTGACGAGGCTTACAGACTAATTTCGTGGAACTGTGGCTGCTCGTTCAGACACATGACGCAACGCCCGCCTATACAGACTGTTGACGTGTCTGAGTCAGAGCCCAGGTCACCGCTGACCGCCGCTAACCCAAGTCATTGCCCCCAGCTCCGGATTCAAGGTCGGTTGAAAACACTGAATCCCGAAACTGCATAGTCATCTTCATATAATGGAAGGCAGACTTAGGTAACAAAAGTGAAATGGTGAGTTTGTGCTTAGTTATTGAAGTTGAAGTTGTGTAATCATGCGTTTTACGTATTTTATTAGCCTTCAAACTTAAGCATATGAATATTCAACAGAATTACCTACTGGACTGGATATTCCGTGGAGCTACTGATCTTTATTTGCGTTAAAAAGAGCACTCAGCGTTGAACACGACCATCTTACCACCGGGTCTCCTCCGCTCGGTCCGTGTCAGACCGGTGTCAGACCGGTGTCAGGTGTCAGACAGATCGCCTAGCACGTGCAGCACGCTCTGAGGTCATCGCAATGTCATGTGACACATAACTCGCACCAAACATTGAGCATCAAGAGTCAAGACGCGTTATAAGTCCTCGGATATGAGCCTCAGATCGAATGATGCTGCTCGCTGAGGATAGTTAGGTCATACAGTTGATACATTTATAAATTTAGTTTTCACAGATTCTGACGACCTTGATATAACATGCTGATCTTGTATTAGGTTTCAGAATAGGAAATGTTTAAGTTACTGTTATCGTGACTTGATTTATATAAGTACCTACTACATATTCCAGTACATATTCTGCCCTTGTGGGTACTATTTTTATCCTTGCTATATTCCTTATCCTTGATCTTAAATTTTTCGTGAAAACTGAGCAGTAACATTTCGTAACATGTTTTCCATATACATTATGATCTAGGAGTGCTTTACAAATAAATTCATATGGACTATACCTATCGGGCTCATTTTGTTTTATTTTATTTGTTTACCTTTTTGTATTGCGCATACGCCTATGAAGGTACGCTTATGCCCAACGGCGGTGACTGACGTCTGACGATTCAGCACGTTAATAAAAGAAAAAGCGATAAATACGATCCCCATAAGCTTGCTCATCTGGACACGTGACGATTTCGTATTTAATCTAAACATGTGCAGCTGCACGTATCTCACTGTTGGATCTCAGTGTCACATCCTTCATCCGTTCTCCGAGTGGACTTCACGACAAAATTACGGTGTCATTAGCTGGCCCTGGAGACGGCATAGTCGAATCTCGACCAGCGACACGTGCGGCGCTCGTGCCTCTCCGCAGAGAGAGGTTTCGAAGCACTAAGCGGTGGTGGAGGCCAAATGTGGCCATATTGAGTTTGATAGTGCCTTCGCTGAGATGCTTACATGTTACTGAAAATATGAACTAGGAATCAATTCAATACCTTTCTTTGGGGCCGATATAATTATTACACCGTTCCATGCTTCTATCCTCAGGATACGGAAATCCTTCTCCTCCACGCCGCAACCTCCCTCCGGGCTGGACAGGCAACTTTATCTCATGCGGGCTGCTCCCTTGGAGCGGCACCGCTGCTCCCGAGGGAGCCACCCCGTAGCCGGGTGCATTGAGTACCTTGGGGCTGGTCGGCCTGTCCTTCGGGATGGGCTCAGCCCTGGTGACTCACTAGGGTGCCTGCCCAGACCAATGTCTCCCCCTAATTCCTATCATCCTCCCGGCTCTGAAATGGTCTAATTGGACCGAAATGGCCTAACCCAACAAAACAAACAAACAAATATAATTATTAGAAAATCAAAAAGGTAGGTAAGTCTCTCTGCTGAAGTGAAGGTAAGTCTTTCCCTGAAGATACATGAATATGCTATCTTATTGTATCTCATTGGGTCGTGAAATGTCCGCTCGGTCTTCTGATCTCGTCAGATCTGAGTGGACCTCCTGAGAAAACACTGAAGATGGATCTTATGTAGTGTCGGTGAATCATAATTCCAGATCACAATGTATAAATATGCCAGCAAAAATTTCACACACACCCCCCCCCCATTTCGCCACCCATCGTCAGGATGGCCGAGCGGTCCAAGGCGCTGCGTTCAGGTCGCAGTCCGGTTCTCCGGGCGTGGGTTCGAATCCCACTTCTGACATGGTTGTTTTGAAACGATCACCTCACTCTTTGCTCCGGGATAAGAAAGAGCGTTATCGCATCCGCCCCAAGCTTGGAGCACTCCAAAAATCACACCAAAGATGTTAGACTTATGTGTACAGATTTATAATGATATTGGAAAGCTGTGATTGTATCATCGCTTGACCGGCTGGAAGCAGCGGAAACGTACCGCCGTGGGCGGTGGACATCCTCCTTTTGCGCTTCATCCTTTCCTGCTAAAAATTTACTTTATGTTTCTCTTATATGCATTTTGATCTATGCCGCTGATCTTCTACTGTTGTCAGGCTTTGCCGTCGAGCTTCCTCGCCTGTGTTGTTAAAGGGACCCTCCCACCTTAACATTAGTTTTGAGTTGAGATAGCCAAATTGGTGGCCATGGCCTGAAAATACCGGTTTGGGCATTCACAACATCGAAAAATGCTTTAATTCGGAGATATGGAATTTCAAACTTGCAGTTTTCGGATTCTAAGGGGCTAATGCATTGGTATGCCCCCTTAGAATTTGTGACGTCAGCGGAGATCTAACGACTTTTAAATCTTTTACTAAAACGCTTGGCAGCACGTGGTGGTATATGCTGCTTTGCGCGCAACAAATGCCGCACTTTCAAATAAAGTCGCTAGGAACAGCGGATATCCCAAAAAGTAAACAAAAGTAAAAGTCTAATATCTTGAAAACCGGTGAATATTTTTCGATGAAATTTGGTAGATATTCGTTTTTGCTCTTTCTGAACCGAGCGACATCACTTTCATGCCAATTCATTAACTTTTTTGAAGGTGGGAGGGTCCCTTTAAACTGCACCGCTGAGCTTCCTAGTTCCTCGCCTGTGTAGGTAGACTGTGCCGCCGAGCTTCCACGTCTGTGTAGGTAGACTGCACCGCTGAGCTTCCTTGCCTGTGTAGGTAGACTGTGCCGCCGAGCTTCCACGCCTGTGTAGGTAGACTGTACCGCTGAGCTTCCACGCCTGTGTAGGTAGACTGTACCGCTGAGCTTCCGCGCCTGTGTTGGTAGTTAGACTGTATGTACGGCTGAACTTCCACGTCTGTGTAGGTAGACTGTACCGCTGAGCTTCCTCGCTTGTGTATGTTGGCTGTACCGCAGAGCTTCAAGTTTTCCATTGCAGGCAGACTGTGCCAAATGCAAGGGAAGTGCTTTTAAGTGACACTGGGCACTGCGCTTCCATGCCCTTGTGTATTATGCAGTACAGTATATCTGCCTTTAGAGCCTAAAACTGAGCTCTCACTCCTCTCGTCTTGGCTCATATGGAAAACGTCCATACAT